CTGTGCCCTCTAAGCAAAATTGAAATATTTTACACTGAAGCATTTCCGCGTTGCTCATTCAGCCACGTTGTGCTTTTAGAATTAAGAATTTATATTAGATTCGCGCAATTCTTGGCGAATTGCTATATAAAATATGTAAAAGGTATCTTTACTTTATTCACATTTTATGTCAAATAACTCGAAGTGAGGATAAGGGGAAGTTTATGCGGAGATAAAGAGAGATAGTTCATTGTACGGAGAGGGGACAAAAGCGGAGAATATCGCTCCTCTAGGAGCAAAGATGAAAGGCTGAAGGGGAGAAGTATTAGGCAGAGACTTATTGCTTCAGTAATTACTACTAATAGCCACCCCCTGAGTAGCGAGGGCGAGAGGAGGTGGTTCTATACTATCCCATACTGTCCGGGAGTGCCTGAGAGAATTCCATGTTGGTAAACATCCGGACCATAAATTTTTCCAGGATTCCGTGGAATTTTCGTGCACTTTACGGGATCCTCGCCGACGTTCCACGTCCCTTCATACTGCGAGGCGTTAAGGATACGGGGAAATGTTATCGCGGAGGTGATGAACCAGCGGAGAGAAATAAGCTTCTCATGAAGAAGGGGACAGACAAATAATAGCGACGTTGAGGATTTTAACAGACGCGCATGACCGTCTCGAATTCAATATTTCGACGTTCGTCGCGTTCGCCAAATAGCGTTTATCATTTCGCGTTATTTACTCACAACTTATTACGCGGTCGCATATTTTCGCAAGTGAAAACGAAAGAAAATCGAATAAATTAATGAAATTATATGGCATTTTCGTGGTATATGACAAATATTTCTGTACAAGTCGATAGTTTATTTCGGTACATCTATACGTAAGATACCGTTCTCTCTCCCGCTATGAGAATCACTATGATAACGATAACTCCCGGAGGTAGCATACAATATAGGCACGCCACATTGAATGGTTGGTGCGTGATTTATGATCCGTCTCTATCGCGTCCTTATTCCCTTACCTCGTTGTCCCTGTGCAACCAGTCGGCTTATGCTTCTATGACATGAATATAACTTGCTTCTTCCTTGCAGTGATTTCTCGAATGCTTAATCGAGCTTATTGCCGCAGTATTAGCACACGCGATGTTAAGTGAAATATATAGATTCGTTTGAAAATATACTTTTTTATATACATTTGTTTTACTTATCTCTCTCTCTTATACTTAAGATAAATATTTAAGATAATTCTCTTCAGGCAACTTTAGAATATTTCAAAAATAAAAACCATGCCTACATAACACATATCCGTCGTCTTTTACCTCAAATGCATTTGGAGAAAAAGATAACGAAGAGAAGACGTCGCGCACAGGGAAGGGTTACGCGCTTAAGTTCCATGTCGCCTAAACGGCCTGTTTTCTACCTTCGACAAAATCTGTGCGATAAGGTCGAGTGGTAGCAAACTCGTTGGACGAAATTGCGGGACGTAGCTAGACATCGAATAGCTCCCGTGTGATTTACAGTCTAGCCCTATCAACGTCCCGGCCTTTCGTCATGCTACCCTTCACATGCCGTGCTAAGCCGGAAGACGAGCGTTTCTATGAAATAGAAACATCTTGCTGGGTTTCGCGCGGCATAAGCCAACGCTCGAGATATATTTTATGGGGTAACATTTCCCTGACGGTGCCGCCGTGTAGAAACACCCGTGGAGGAGTATCCCATACATCAGGGTTGCACCCTGTCTCTTAGCGCAGCGACTCTCAACGGGAGCGACAGCGTTTTTGAATAAGACATGCATGTAATCCGCAAAGGAAGTATAGTACGGCACGATCGAGTATCTTTGATTATTCAGATACCTTTCGCAATGCGTTCGTGCGTTTTATTAAAAACAAAAGAGAAGATCAAACTTGGTGTCCTTCCGTAATTTGAGCTTAAATATGTATTTCGTTGACTCCAATGCGACCCACATAAAAAGATATACAAACTTTCTTCCGTAAAACTTGGAAATTCTCCTGCTAGTAGTAAAAAAAACAGGCTCCGAAAGATAAAACTTGAGAACCATTGCTCCCTTTCTCTTTCTCTATGTCCTAATACTTCCATTCTTTATCGTTTTTCTTGTTTCTTCCGTTTAGCTGTGTTTTTTATTCTTGTCTTGTTTCATTTACCTTAAATGTACCGTTCATACCCCGACCTACTTTATTGTAGCGGGCTCTTACCAAGTCTGTCGCCTTTGCGATTACTGTCACGCACGTCCTACATGTCTGAAGGTACTTCCTGTAGTTTCCCTTTATGAAAATGACTGCATTTCGTCACCTGGGAAGCTGTGATTAAAATCATCACGCCTCGGTTTTCTTAACGAGTAAATTTCGTTGATATATTTGTCTTTTACATCATAATAATATTTTAATCTATTTCATTCACACATGCAAGCTGATTATTTGTTGCTGCGGCGTCTAGTATGAAACGCGATTATACACGCCTTCGCATGAAATGCATTGCACTATTTATTTTATTAACATCGTTGAAATAATGATTTGATTTGCTTGTAATCTTTTCGATTTGATTTTTTTCTTCCCTTTGCTTAAAACGTCCGCTGATTTATCGATACGTCCAAGCGGGGCATTCCGTTGTCTTATACGCGCTGCCTAATCATGTTCCTGATGAGCCGCAGGCAAGTTGCAAATCAGAACGTAATACCCGTGCTTTCGGCACCCAAATTCGGAGAGCACGGCTAAATAACATCTTCGACGCAGGCAGCGCCGGCAGACGATACTGCGGCTGCTCTAGATCGTAATATCGCTTTAATTATGTGCGCCGTATTTGCGCCGGGTCGCGTTATTAATTTCGGGTCCTCACGCCGTGAGACTTACCGTTACGACCTCGGGGGTTACGTCGGATCCTGCGAACCCCTCTAGCAGGAACGTCGCCCGGTACGGAGACGTACCGTCAGAGAGTGGGTGGTGCAACCCTCCCTGGGATACACGTCTGCACGTACGATGCATCCGCCCGGCGCAGCACACGGCTCATCTTCGAAATGTTATTGCGCGAGTGCGGCCCATCCCTCTCGTCCTGCCGTATGTAAATTATTTCGGGCGCTAAATTAAACAGGTGAAACGGTGTTGCGCGATAAGTTGGCGCGAACAGGATTGCCCCGCGAAATATCTCCGTTTTAGGATGTTTACGGCAGCTGGGCCGCGTGGATTCGTCGACGTTGACGTAGACGCCGGGCGAGCCGGGGTTCAATTGCGAGTTTCGAATTACTGTGCTCTTTGCGCGATAAGAACAACAATATCCGAGATACTCGCTTCAATTTAAGTTGTCATCGCCGACGAAAGTTTTGACGTGACCCAAGTACCACGTGACGGAAAGTAATAAGTTTCAGCGATAGGTACTCGTTACCCGGGACCTTCCCGTATTTCCCGTAACAATTCGCGATCGTGTGTGAAAAATTAAGATGCACGAATACGGTCATTTAATACAGCTGCGCGTGATCTTCCTGCCATGCTGTCGGCGCTCTTTTCCATCGTCATTTCTATTCGCCGTCGCCGTCTCTCGGAGCAGGTTTCTCGGTACCGCTTACAGCCTTCGACCGGAGCTAGATCGCACTCTATTATTTTTCACCGATGTAATTTTTCCTCGTTTTCCAGACAGTTTGGCCGGGCGTCTCGCGGAAAATATCCCCGCGGATTGCGGTCGCCGTGCAAAATAAATAATCCCCACCGTCGTTTCCGTTTCTCGTTTCGTTCCGCTTCGCGTGTTACGTGTCTGTTCCATTTTTATTACAGCGAAGCCACCTCGTTACATCGACTCGCGCATCTATTTGTTTATTTTTTTTTTTTGCAACTCCGCGCAGCTCTATTCCATTCCGTTTTTGAATGCATAATGCGGTGTGCGGAGATTTCATTAGACTGTAAAAATAATAATGTCCGCAGTACTTTGAAACTGCGAATTAAGAGTTGAGGATAATAGAAAAAGAAATTGGACATTCTATAACGCGCATGTCCGCCAATTAGTTGTACAACTTTTATGATTATTTATATAAATGAAAGCCTCGACATTTTTAATATACCGCAATGCTTTAAGATGCTTACGCTATTACAAAACGGTGCTTCAAAATGGCAGTACGAAGTTCTCGGCTGGAGCAATTAAATGAACAAACACGAATGGACTCGAAGTTTCTCCCATCGCTTTCTCTTACGCAACTCATTTTACTTGCCGAACTGTTATGGCTACTTAGACTGCATTATGAAGACATAGTGATGCCGCGTACGGCTGCTGTGAACTTTACTTGTTGCAAGTATCCGCGCTATATTAAAGTGCCCGCCACAAATGATTTCAGCAGACACAATATCGATATAAATTCTTAGAATACTATTGAGTGAATTTCTAGCATGCATTATACAGTTATCTATTCACTACCTCTCTCTCTCTATTATATATTGGTGCACTTCTATACAAATTAATTAACCTGTTATTAGTCTTTTTAGAGAACAAAAAATAGTCTGCGCTGTTATGAAGTTTAGCTCACAAAAACGTAATTATACAAATCGCGTTGTGTATTTCAATTAATTAAAACTATAAATGAGAAATTATTTTTTCCTATAATCTGCAGGATTGAAAGGGAAATAAAGGTTCGACTTGGAAGGCTTTGAGTGTCTTCCTAAAGTGCATGAATTTTCGAATGTTTTATTTGCCACGTAGCGAGAGTTTACGAATACCTGCCACTTACTGGAAAATTATCCATCTCAAACTTCACTAAGAGCTGCTTAATAAAGATGTCAAATTTGTTAATAAAGAAGAATCTGTACTTCTAACTGAAGATTATTTCATACAAAATTACTATAAGCTCTCTTTTTTATATGTAACTTAACAAATATATACAAGCATTTCTCTCTATTTCTATTTTCTTCTTTCTTTTACAAGTTGCACTAAACGGGCTTCCATGTCATTTTTCGCATTAAATTATATAATCGATCTTGCGCACACAATATGCAATATTAAAAATTCTAAGATAAGATAATATTTAATATGGCAAATTGTTTAGCACCACAAATAAAGAATATATCTCGGGTTAATTCGTTATTATATAAAACACGTACTTGTCTTCAAACGTATCTGTACTCATTTTCTATTCCTTGTAAATTGAAATCAAGTCAAATCTTGTCTAATTAGAGGAATTTAATTAGGGAATTGTATTTTAATTAATAAATCGATCGATCCCTTTTAAAGTCCAGACAAACTTGGCATCGCGATTGAGCCTGATCCAGTTAAACTTACGCGCGGTAGTATTATTTGAATGTTCTTTTTAATCTTACTATTAACCTGCGGCATCTTCAGCAAATGCTTGAATAAACCCTTAATAAACTGCCCCTGCGTCTTATACTTCTCGAAATCGAAGTCTTCGTTGTCTTGCAGAAGATTGGGATTTTGCGCCAGGTATGTGATTACATCGTTATACGCCAGTTTCTCCTTGTACGTCAATTGATCGAAGTTCACCGTCTCCTGGATCATGTCGCCTAGTTGTACTTCAGCTTTAACTACGTACGTTTCGACCCACATCCACATGATGGGCAAGGCACCCATTTCAGTTAATTCCACCTTCTTGTAGTATCTAAGTGCCTTCAGAAGTCGTTTCTCGAAACGTATTGTACCGGACAATGCACTCAGAATAATTTTACGCAAGAGATCCCCGCGAGACATAGTTAATGGTGGTTTGTCTATATGCAATTTTTCCAAAAGCGTTGGATCGCCGAGGAATTGCTCTAGCTGCCCCGTCATGGCGACTTCGGCATCATTCTTGGCTGTTGGAAGAACAGAAATCAAACTTGTCAGCTCGGGCAGCCACTGGCCTGTAGTTTCGGACATCATCTTCACGAGTTTATCTTCGGACACCTGAATGCTCATCGATGGTACCTCGATAGCTTTTATATAAATATCAACTAAGAATTTCAGCTTTGGGTTCGACTGGATTACTTTACTTTTCTGTAATTTGTGCAGCACCGTTATCAGAAGTGCTCCTTTATTTGGATACGCCAATGGTTGAAAATCTGGTCCAAGTATTTCCACCATTTTCGTAGACGTCAACATCATTTTGAGAGGTTGTATCGTTATCACGAGCGAGTCCTCTTCTTCCACAATAGGCAGCAGATCAGCGTAAGGATTCGATGGACTTATAGACTGCAACAATAACTTGGGATTGACGAGAGGTACGGTGACACTGTCGGATAATGGTTCATCGGGTGGACGTTCGCCAATTGTACTGTCGGTTAAGTCGTTCGGATTGAACGTGGAATAAACAACGGTTGATACCAATTTCTTCGACGAGACTACGATGGGTAACAATATCGTCGGGCTGACGTATTCTATACTGGCGATATATTTATGAATTACGTTTATCAAACGCGTATTCTTTATTACTTCCGGATAAGTTGCGGCCTCCTTAAGTATCGCTGACAGTAATGCAATATTCGTGGGATAAACGTCCACATTCTTCTTTAGGATCCTCTTAATGTAATTTTTGCCAAATATAACAGACAATGGTTGTAATACTTGAATTGCTATCGGTGAATCGGTATCTCGCATGAAGTCATTTATTTCCGGCGATTTCAGTAGATCCTTGACGTCTGGCAAAATAATTCCAGACTCCGTTGCGTTATAGTCATGACTCGTCGTTACAACAGGGACGCCACTAGTGGATAGTTGCACTTTAAGAGGCTGATTAGTTTCTATCGGAGGTAATACTATCGCGCTTGATACGTTCTCGTTACTCGTTTTCTCTTCAACCGTCTGTGGAAGTTTTGGCTTGGCCTGTTGTGCTGCTTTTGTCACTTCGGTAGATTGTTTCGTTGTGACTGTTTTAGTCACTTCTTTCAGTGAAGAAGTTTCAGTCTGAAACTCTTCACTTGTACTCGGCTGGTGTGCTACTTCTTTTTCCTGGAATATTAATTCTGATGAGATATGTTCCGGCGTATGTTCTACTTCCGAATTATATTCTTCAACAACGCTCTCTTTTGTCGTGTATACGGGCTGCTTCTTTCGTGGTCTCTGCGTCGGGGTCTGAGTAATCAGAGACGG